TATATATATATATATATATATATAAAGCTGACTAATAGCTTCTCCATTAATAAACTGGTACATTATTTTTTTAGGTCTGTGACATCATATTGGACCATGCAAAACACAGATTAACCTCCACAAAGCCTCAGAAGGGCAAGATTTATGTACAAAAAGTAAACCTGTACATGAAACTATGTTTTTATGAAGTGTTTTTATAATGTTTTTTGTTGTTGGAATTCATATGAATATACTGGTGTGATACCTTAGTATACGTTTGATATATATTTGGTATATTTTGGTATTTTGTATACATCTATTTTGAATTTATAGCTTTTAAATGCTAGCAGAACTCCCTATATGTAAATGATATCGATCAAGAACTGTGTTGCTTCCAGCATATCTGTTTCCCCCTCTGTTCTTACGTACAGAAAGTACAAGCGAACAAAGAAAACCCAAAAAGGTATAGAATTACAGCATGCAGGAAGCCCAAAAATATGCAATACAAATTGCATTTCTATATTCTATCCTTTTAATGTTAAGGAATTATAATCATAATGACTAAAATGTATCAATTTTGCATTATAACCTTTTTACAACTATTACTGAATTTGCCTCCAATTGGCTGTATTTTCAAGCAATTTAACAAAGGGGCTTAAATTTAGTTATGTTTAGTCAACAAACAACAGCAGACATTAAAATGTGATCAGATCCATGATGAGTAAATAGATGTACTAATTTCTTCATATCACTGGTAATCTATGAATTCAAATTCGTTGGGAGTCTTTTACCTGTTGTTGGCAACAGGGAGCGCAATCTCAAACTTGGCCAAAAACTGGAAATACTGCTCCTCTGTTTCCCGGGTGAATCCTGTTCCTTCCAGCAGCTTCTGCACAGCAGAGATCACAACAACAGAAGGTCAGGCTTTGACACAGAGCAGACACCAGAGACTTCGCCCTGCATCTCACCCTGAGCTGCTCTGTCTGGATCAATCCGTTTTTGGGTAAAGGGCGACAGGAGTTTAGATGGACAATCCTCTCTAAGCAGTCTGACAGCCACACGGGACACAGGAAGTACAGAGTACACAGGCCATGGCTGGTGTCTGGGAAGTGCAGCAGGGTCCCAGTTTCAATTAGGAAACTGATGGCTTGATGGAAAACAAAGGAGAAAAGCAAAATGTCATTGAGAAGTTTTTCAAATACACTAGTATAGGCAAGTTTTTTTGTTTTCGCACATTTCAGTAGAAAAACAATTTAAAGTGCTTGACATGAGTTAAACAATAGAAAAGTAGATAAATAACAGCAGAATAAAAGTGATAAAAGATAAAAAGAAAGAAAAAGAAACATTATCTTTAACACACTTAACAATTTCTTTGAACAGCTGCCCTTTTATGTGTTTTATTAAACTAATTTGATAAAAACTTAAGAATGCCACCATAAATTGAAACAAAAAAGTCTCACTACAGTCTCACCCCAGGCTCACACCGACTCCGGTCTTACCGTTGCGGTGCGGTGGGTG